TCCAATCGAAAAATATTTATTTTCAAGAATTCTATACCATTTCTACGAAGAATTTTATTTTTCGCATATAAAAATACATGGAAAACTTTGAGCGCTTTGAGCGACCTCTATAATTTCTTTATTTCAATATAAAAAAATAGGGGTATCCTTTTTTTGGTATAGGACAATCCTAGGGGGTGAGAGCATTACAATTCCGACTTTACTGTTTTGTGGACCACCCTAATGTATATACATATGTGAAGTTTCAAGAGTTTACCATGAAATTAAAAGAAATGACACATCAGAATATCTGTCGCCGCTATTTTGTAACTTTTGAACTTTTTTTTTTTTGTTTTAATAATTTTAGATACTTCAAAATGTTCAAATTAAACGGTGAAATTATTATTCTTGCCAAAACGAACGAGTCTAGTGTAATAAAACTAGTGTGTCACCAAATGAAAAAAATACATTGAGTTAAGGATGGCTGATTTTTTAAATTTTTATTGGCAAACTCGAAATTGGTTCTACATTTGTTATATGCATGATGAAAGTAGTATATATGGGCATAAGGAATATCATGATACAAAAAGGAAGGTAGTTTTATTACTACTATTTTTTGATTATAAAGCAAATTTTTGACATTTCTCCAGATGTAAACATTAAGCATAGATTTGTCACATTGAAATTTTTTGATAGAGGAGATTTTCTTTTAAATATTTGGGAGTAAAATTTACATATAAAAAATAGTAAGTTGTTGTGTTCGATAGTCAAATTTGAACGTTTTTCTCAAGCGTTTAAAAAAATCCTTTGAATAATATCGATGTGCAGAGATGAAGAAATAAAACAAAATCTAATTTTGAAACATTTATTTGTTAAAAAGCTGTTTTTCATTTTATTTTAAACAAAATAAATAAATTTACATAACAAAAAATTTTTTTTTGTTAAATAGTCCGAAGAAGATATATTGTTAGATATTTCGTCATTAAAGCATAGTCCGAAACCAGGATTCGGAGAAGGTTGAATGGTCACATTGCTCTCACAATTAAAGGAGTCACAATTTAGAATTCTCCGGAAGTGAAGTATCTATAAGTAACTCTGGATACAAAACTATCGTGGAAATCTAACGAACAACACAAAACCTCTAAAGAATGGGCAGCATTTTGGCAATGTAAACTGGTCTTTGGTAAAACGTGGAGTGTGCCACTATAGGGAATCCTCTGGATGTATACCTCTATGATCAGACCCATAATTAGCTATGCGTCAGTGGGAAGTCTGCTTACAAAACTTCAAAGAACTACTGCCGTGTGCGGTACGAAAGATTTCTCTGCAACACGTGGCGTTGCTCTTGATGCACTGCTGCACTTAACGTCACTTTGTGTCTTCATACGCCGGGAAGCCTTAACGACCACCTGCAGACTAAAAAGAAACGGATGCTGGTATAACACTGAGTGGGACCAGGCGGAAATTACTAGCGGCAGAGTTCTGAGCACTTGTGTCTTTTCAATGCGACAGGATAGTACGCCACCTTTACCTTTGTTAAAGAGATTCTATAATATTGAGTTCCCTGAGGCCTGACCACTGAGCCTGGACTCACACATAATCGAATATTCACTTATGGCTTCAAAACTGACTCTGGGGCAGGATCTGAGGTCTTTGTCGGAGTTAATGGGGATAAGATTAACTTTTCTCTTGGCAAGTATGCTTCGGTCTCCCGGGATAAGGTATTTGCAGTACTCAAGGATATGGACTACGTGGTGGAAAATAGCGGAGCGGGAGGAGTTTACGTAACGGCCAAGCTGCACTTAGGGTGGCCAGATATTATAGTGACATAATCAGTACAGTTGGGATCAAAAATCAGTACAAAGCCATAAAAATCAGCTAATTTTTAAGCGTATTTTTATTAATAACAATATAACAACCAAATAACAGCCCATTAATTAACAAAAAATAACGAAGAGACTTTTAAATACATATACTATTATCAATATAAAAATTCATTACTTTAAAACAAATCACAGGTATTACGTATGTATGTACAGCTGTGCTCACGAAAATAGTAGTAACATGTATTGACAGGTTTTGAAATTTTTTTCTTTCCTTACTTAATTAATTTTTTTTTATAAAAATATAATTGATTCTATAACAAAAGACGAGTGAGTTGAAGCCTCAAACTTTCTAGAAAATTTATAAAAATTGAGAAAATTCAAAAAAAAAAATGTGTCGATTCTCTGTGGATGCAAAAAATAAAACTTAAAACGTAACGATTATTTTCCGAGTAAAAAATAAAACTTAAAACGTAACCATTATTTTCCGAGCAAAAAATAAAACTTAAAACGTAACGATTATTTTCCGAGCAAAAAATAACACTTAAAACGTAACGGTTATTTTCCGAGCAAAAAATAAAACTCAGTTAATAACGATTAAAAAGTGATTTTTATAATAAAACTTATAACCGTTCCAGTCCCTGGTACAAACTCAAAAAATCAGTAGATTTTGCGTACAGATTTCGGGCTCTTAAAAATCAGTACAATAGAAAAAAAACAGCACATGTACTGATTAAATCAGCGCATCTGGCCACCCTAGCTGCACTTAACGCACTACTTACTTCCAGACTCTGAGTGCTAGTTCAATCGGGAGTAGCTCCTATCGTCCAGAACTATAATATTTATCATATCTTGAATTTTAATTTTCCTTATTGCGCATATCGAAGACAAATTTCCTTTTAATTTTGTAAATATATATTTTTTCTACAATAAATAAATGATTATTGAGGACTAGGTATGGCAGCACGAATAGTCACAATCTGCTTAATTGTCAGGTAGTTAATATGGCGCACGAAAAGCGACAATGAAATCACTTTAGATACCCAGTGGACATCGGCGTAGCCAGAATGAAATCTAGGGGAGGGTTTCGACCCTATTAAGCTGGCATTTCAGGGTACTATTTTATATATATATATAAGGAAAATTTGAAAGTTAGGGGGGGACGGCTCGAGCACCCCCAGCCCCTACCTGGCTACGCCCATGCCAGTGGATACAACTTTTTATAGATACTTGGCAAACAACAAGAAACAGAATGAGGGTAACACTGATATTGTCCCAATTTGGCAAGCCTACTCACAGTGCTGACAAAGTGACACACTACAACAAACCAGACATGCTTTCTGTTTTATTAGCAAAGAAACCTACCAAAATTTTAACCGTCCTGCCATCTTACCAGTCAAATAGAGCTGTCACAACTGATACCACCTTGTCTTATTGCATCATGAAAAAAACCTACCAATTTCGGTATGAAATACCGGAAACGGTAACCCTGATAAGAATACTATTTGAATTATCTGGCTTTGCGAATGTTTTCGCTCTGGCTCGCATTCACCTGTATAGCAAGCTTGCTAAAAATCATCCGGCAACACTCGGAGCAGAATTGAAGCTGTGCTCGGATTCCACTTTGAACAGACAAGTTTACTACAATTTTGAATACATGAATCTAAAATGCACTCCTCATATACCTCATTATGAATGCGTTTCTTTATACATTCCAGATTATCCCATCTCATAAGCAGAATAAAGAGATTTGTAATATATGGTTACATATTTTCAGGAACGTTCTAAAGAATAAAAAAACTAAAAATGTTTCCAAACGTTCGGTATGAATAAAGAAATGCCGCCTATTATTTAATGTCAATAGGTAGGTATCCGTTTTTACAATTTGAATTTTTGTAGGTACCGACAGTCTTAAGTTAACTTCCGAATGAGAGTTAAAGGCGAAATACACCACGCAATATTACTTTATGCAACTTTTAGATTCACGTAAAATTCAAATAAAAAACGTCTCTCATGCGTTTAGTTTGTTTGTACTCCTATTTTGGATGAAATTGTCGTTAATCGAGTTTTGAGGAGTCCGAACTCTGGCAACAAGTTATTTTACAACAAATTGCAAAAACTAGTAGTTTTAATTCGCTGTTGAACGAGTGCGAATGTTGGCGATTGCGGTTGATTGAAAGGCAGAGAAAATATTAACTATTTTTTGGCTTGCAGAATTTTAGAAACTTATTTATCGGCATATAATTCATCATCCAAGTTTAGTGATTTCTTGAGCCTACGGACAGACTCCCAGTGTTGGAAAAAAAATCCTTGAAACTCATTTCGGGTACAAATCAAAACGTCCGTGGAGACAGTGGAGATTTTCTGGTAGAGTGGTGTATTCACAGTGATCTTATGGTTCATTCGTGGAGCTACTTTGCGGAATTTGCTTTTGGTTTTTCATTCGTCGCAACAGAAAAGAACTTATCAGCCGAAGAGTAAAGGCAGTTCTATTTTTGGCAAAATTTTAGTATGAGAACAAAGAATTACTTTTAACCATTAAAAAGCACAAATGAAATAAACAAAATTGGGTGATTAGGAAAATACACACGAGTAGCTGCAGTGAAGACGGCAGAAGCAAAGAATAAAGGGAAGATAATAAACTCTTCCTGTTTGGTCTACGGGTTATTGTTGTTTTTCTGTTTGGTCTGCAGCCAGCGTTAGCTTTGGCGTAAGCGTTAACAGTGGCGTCAGCGGTAAACTGCGAAGATTTTCAATCTAGCTTCACAACAATTGGAAAATAATAATCGCGAAAAAATTGTGCAATTGGGAACAAAAATAACTTACAACATTAATACATACTTAAATATTGAATTGTGCTAATAAAAAAAGTCCACACAAATATCGAATCGCGGTTCCAGCTTTTAGCCTTGCAAAAGAACTTGGTTGCTTTAAATTTGTCATACTAAAAGGATTTTATGTTTACTTTGTTCCTCGGCTATGGATTGTAAATTTATTGTTTATAATGCGGCTCGAGACAACAACTTAGCGCAATTGAAGGTGAGTAGATGGATTTTAATCACAAAAGCCCTGTATGGTGATCATTCATGTGCATATGTATGTTTGTATGTATGTCTGAACATAGTGCATACCAAATTTGACCTTTTGAGGGCTCGGATATTATGGAAATGTAATGGGTTTTTGGGGTCTATAGAGTCGTTCTCTAGTATATAGTAGTGACGTTTGTTTGTCACAGGTAAAAAAATCTCAAGTTTTTAAGGTTATCTTTTGGGAATCACCGATTTTTGATTTCTATTGAATAGGACCTCGGAAACTATCCTGTAGGGCCGATCGTTGTGTGCGTGGTGAGCGGTGGAGCACAAGCCGCGGTACCGCCCACATCCCATTTAGGAGAGGGCATGAACTGCCATTTACAAAAATGTAACTCCCGTCTGCCTAGGGCCATTACAGGTCTCTAGGGAGCACTTACAAAAATTGGTAAAAATCACAATTTTTACTTGCGTTCTTGCTTGTTTTCAGGGCAAAATTTGGTATGGCTTTAGTGTACATCGACATGTGTGTGTTTTAGCAAAACTATAACGAATTTTCTCATGAAACTTTACGAGGATGCTAAGAAACAGATGTTTACATAAATTCTCACTTTTTTCACTTTCACTAGTATTTAAGTAATATGTTGTTTAAATTTGTTGCACTTCCATTAGCAAATTTTCATATAAAAAGTGCAGTTATCACTTATATTTGCATAAATGCACGATCTTTTCAATGTTCACATGTGATTTGTGTACAATAAATGCATTGGGTACACTTTATGAATTTGTACAACGATTTTGGATTGCTGTGCCCAAACGCGTGAATCGAATCAAACACCTTTTACACACATTTGTAGACAACAGTTCACTCTTTCTTACAAAAATTTTAATTTACTAAATCTGTGCACTAATTTAACAATAATGTCGGTTGGAAACATGGTATTTGATGCAAATTTCCGAAATATACGTACACTGATTACTCTTATTATGCCTTAAAGCAGCCACTTAATGTCTTCATTTTTCTGTTTATATTTACTTTACACATTACACTATTACATAGTTGTTAGTTGTTTTATTCCTTTAATTGAAAGTTATTCGTCGCAATTTATACCCCCTTATTTTAAATTATAATTTTTTTTTTTTACTTTTTGTATGTTTTTAAAATTACGTTTCATACACTTTTTGCCTTACAAAAAATCTAAAATTCCCCTATTTTCAAACAGCTCCCCAGTGGTCTGTGGGGCGGGTTGGGTGGTGAGGGGTGACTTTTCATAAACCGGCGTCCATCCTTTTTCGTTTAGGGGGTTTGGAGAGCTACGCCCCTGTTTTTCATGGCAGAAACACATTCGGAGGTTTGCCATTGCCTGTCGAGGGACGACAGCTGTTAAGAAAAAACCTTTCTTCTTTCCAGTCGTTGCGGAGTGGAAGCGCGCTCTGCTTACCACTACACCACAGCGGCCGACTATTTAGTAAAGTAATAAAAATTATGTTATTACCTACCTTTTCAAAAATACCAAACACGTTCACTTTGCAGACAGCGAATTTTTCGATTTTGAAGCGACTGCTCTAGCCGATGAGAGTGGCAACCATCGTCAGGCCGATCACGGAAATCCCCGCGTTAGGATCCCAATGCGGAGATTCGGCGGTTTTTTAACGTACATAAGCGGAAGAAGTGGGAAGAGCATCTGAAGACTTGCATCTTCACCTCTGGTGTGAGTAAGGTTGGTCAACCGTGAGGTCACTGTCCAATCCGACAAAGCGACGCCAGAGTCGAAATATCTTTCGGCGACCGCGCTTCGTCGGATCCGGCAGTTTACACTGCATCCTCCGGAGGACAAAGGCAACGAGGAGGGACCAGAATGCTGCACAAACTGCCAACAACAAGTGTGCCTGTTGTTTTCACTTACTTTGTAGTTCAGGTAGGCATCGGGAAGACGAAAGCCTCCAAAGCCATGGGATCCGACGGAATATGCATGTTGATGCTGAAAAATTTGGTTCCCGCGGGTAGACTATTTAGACTGTCAATGGCCACTCTTGTATGTGTCAGACATCTTGAAGATGGGGAGAGTGGTCCCACTGCTGAAACCGGGGAAACCAGCCAACAAAGGAGAGTCTTATCGCCCGATAATACTCTTTCCCCGGTAGCGAAGGCACTAAAGGCTTTGCTACTCCCGTATTTTGCGAACCACCTCACGTCAGCGAAGCATCAGCATGGGTTCCAAAAAGTGCACAGCACAACAGCAGCACTTAACGCCATAACATTCGATTCACACGTGGCCTTGAGCCACAACCGCTCCTTGTGAAAGAACTATTCTAGTAGCGTTGGATCTGTCAAAGGCGTTTGATACCGTTAGTCATTCCACGCTACTGGAAGACATAGAGGCCTCCTCTCTCCCACAGAGACTCAAACGGTGGTGGGCGAATTATCTGAATGGTCGACACTCGTCAGTGATGCTTAGAGATAAATCGAGAAAACCCTGAAAAATAAAACAGGGGGTTCCATAGGGTGGTGTCCCTTCCCCATTACTGTTCAACTACTATATTTCCAAGCTCCCTCAACCACCAGAGGAAGCATCGAAAGTCTCTTACGCTGTCGATTGTTCGATAATGGCGTCTGGGAATGGAATTGATGACTTGTGGCCGAAAGTAAACGAGCTTTCTCGCTTATTCACTGCTAGGAGCCTAATCCTCTCCCTACAAAATCCTCAGCTACTCTGTTCACCACCTGGACGAAGGAGGTCAGTCTGCCGCTGGGGATGCACGTTGATAACCCGACAATACTCAGAATAACCCGACAATACTCAGAGTAACTTTCGACAGTCTGCTCACCTCTGCGCATACAACCGCAATTGTCAACAAAGTACAGCGCCGCAACAAGGTCCCCAAGTCGCTAGCCGGCAGTACTTTCGACAAAAACAATGAAATGTATAAGGCAATTGGCCTGCCGGCATCTGTACGCACTGACGGACGAAGTCCAGAGGATCATAAAGCAACCTCTCGAGCCGACAGCATTCACGGGGAGTCGGTCTTAAGTGACGTAGGCTCCAGACCTTTGAGTGCCATTCTGGGCAAATAACCATCTAACGTGGGCGAGACGGAGTTTCGTCTGCCTCGGGAGACTCGGACCACAATAGCCCAACTTCGCTCTGGCTACTGCAGCAGGTTGAACTCATTTCTGAGCAGACATGTGTCCAACGAGTGTCTGGCATACGGACAGATACCCCACGACTCGAAACATTTATCCGCATGCCCATGAAACTCCACACAGCTAATGCCTCTTTCCTTGTGGACAGACCCCATAGAGGCTGCACGCTTCTTGTGTCTTGCGTTAGTTGAGCTTGACGACAATGACTGAGATACTAGGCGATCTGGGCGGGTTTGTTGTAGCCGCTACAACAATAGTATTTTTGCACTCTCTCCAAATATTTTATATGGATAGCGTGATACGGTCCTCAGATAAAAGCAGCGAATTCTAGTATAAACAGAACGAAGGCGGTGTATAAAATCTTAAGTGTTTACGGGTCAGAAAATTGCGATGAATGACGTCTAACAAACGTTAGCATAGCAAAGGAGTTTGAGATCGTATAATTTATATGCGCAATAAAATTGCACATTGGTACGATGTGCACAGAGGTTTTAGGGAGTTTAGAGTTGCTTTGTGACATTTTGAGGAAAATAAGGAAGATATGATATACCAATTGTAAAGCTTATTGAGTTCTGATTGAAGAGTAGCCGTGTCACTATGACAACTACCCTCACAGTAGACTTTTAAGTCATAAGCTTAAAGAATAAATCGAGCTAAAGAGAAACACGAAGAAATATCGTTGATGAAAATAATGAAAAATAATGGACCTAAGATGCTAACTTGAGGACCTCCAGAGCTTGCAATCAATGGTTTCGATGAGACACCACGCTGAGAGAAAAAACAGCCAAAAATTGGTTATTATTACCAAATTCAAACTTGAAAAGGAATGAACGTGATTTTTGGTTGATATTAACAATGCCTTGGTTGATATTTTCAACAATGATTTGGTAATATTAACCAATTTTATTTAATTATTTTACATTATCCAAACTTTTGGTTGGCGATTTTTTCGTTTGAACGCGCTTATGTTCTGCACTCCACAGAGGCTTTTTCATAATTCGGAGATACAAAACAAATACTTTTATAATCCTTTTAACATGTTGCCTCTGACGGGAGTAGCAATAACGGCAAGCATCTCCACACACTCAGCTACAGCCGCTTTATAAATTTGTCTTTAAATTGCTTATGTACGTCACGGATGTATTTTCGTAATAAAGAAAAAACAAAAACAGAAAAAATAAATAAAAAGTATGTGTTGCCGTGACGGCATACTCGTACTCGAACCTGCTGGAAGCCAACAAATAACAGCAAACAACTTGAATCACATTTTTTACAGTCGCTGCATTAACCATGAGAAAACCAAACAATAACTCGGTTGAAAAAATCATTGTATTCTTAGCTCAGTGCATCAATAACAAAGTAGTTCTCCTAATATCCAAGTACGCCTTGATCCATTCAAAAAAAAAAAAAAAAAAAAAAAAAAAAAAAAAAAAAAAAAAAAAAAANAAATTAGCCAATTTAACAACCAGGATTTGATGAAAGATCATATCCAAGGTCCTGGAGAAATCCGTGTAAATCACATCAATCTGGAAGCCACTTAGAAAAGCATCAAAGGAGTCCTCCGTAAAATCTGAAAGATTGGTTTATGTGGATTTGGCTGCCACGAACCCATGTTGATTTGGACTAATCATTTGTTTCAATATAAAATTCAGCTTATTTTTAATAATTTTGTACCTGAATTAGAAAAAAAAACCAATTTAAAAAATGTTTTTATTTGCAATGAAAGTTTTTGGCCACTTTTTTAGCCAAAAGCTAAAATTTTTTAGCAATTTTTAGCCACTTTTAAAATCGAATCTGGCCACCACTAAAAATTGTCAGCGGCAACACTGATTCTTACTGGCTTTTGCATAGCGATCAGAACTAAT